AGACATGGGCCTTTAGAGGCTGGGATGCCCAAGTTTGGGGGATGGCTTGGGGGATGGGGCAGAAGTCCAATGGGAAGTGGGCACACAACTGGGAAGTCAGGAGGGAGATGTGGGTATTTGGCATCATGGAGTTGAGAACAGAAACCATCAGATGGAAGGGAGGGCAGGGGAAGTAGACAGGAGATAAAGGAGAAGTGGGGTGAGGACAGTGCCCTGGGAACCCCAACTGTCAGGAAGAAGGAAGAGAGTGGGAAGGGCCAGGTAGTGCCATAGAGATGGCAAGTGTGGAAAGCCAGGCTCTGCGGGGAGATCCCCGGGCTGAAGTCCCGGCCGTCACTCACTTCAGAATCTTGAGCTTAAGAATAACCCACTAATTTCAACCTCCTCATCTGTAAAACAGCTTAGACTCCCTAAATATGAGGCTAGAATTGAAAGGAGTGGCCCCAGAAGACCATCACCTCTGGCACAAGGAACGTACACTTAAAGCAGCCTATTGTCATGAGCACGGTGGGAGGACACTAGAAGAGAACAGCCCGAACACACAGAAAGCTCTGCACACCCTTCAAGGTAATGGACACCAACTAAGGGAGCAAGGAGGGGACAGGAGGACACCTTTTATCTAAGAAACCATCCTGAGCAGCCACGATGTTGTTACCTTTTAGTGCAACCCCCAAGCCTTCCAGCTGGTGAATCGAAGGCCGAGCATGTGCTGAAGATCATCAGCAAGATGGGAGAAACACCCTCCCAACTTAAATATGGAGAACAGGACTCGGTCAGCTGACTTGGAAGCCCTGGCTTCAATGTTTACTCACTGTGTGACCTTGGACAAGTCACTTGGCCTCTCTGAGCCTGAACTATTAAATAACATAATGGTTATAAATCGCCTAGCATGTTGTCATACCCAGAAGACCCTCACACAATTATCTGTTCCCATCTCTTTCTCTCCAGAACCCAAGTCTCCAGGCTCTTCCTAGTGCATGATTTCCTAGGATCCTACACTCTGTGGGGTTCACCATTCAAGAGCATGTGACTCTGGAAGGGTTCATCTTTGTTTCTATAGCCCTGTCCTCCCCTCGATCCCAGCCCTCACGGAGCAGAGCTGCAAAACCGCAGTGTGTACAGGACTAGGGGCTCTGGCTGAGACGCAGGCCCTGACTCTAGCTATGTGGCTAACAGCGCCCGCAGCCCTGGCATTGAGGGTCCTCTGCCCACCAGGTAAAGAAGCCCCCACCACAGCATCAGCAGCCATTCCTCCTCCCTGCTGACCTACAAGCTCCTCTGGGTGGGTCTCTCTATCGTACTCAGCTCTGTGTCCCCTCCATGGTATATGCTCCCTGAAAGGATGTCAAGAAAAGAAACAAGGCTTAGAGAGAACCATTTTCCAGCTAAGTAAATGCCAACAGGGTATTTTATTTGTTTGGAGCAGGAGCCCTTCTGGGTCATTCCAGAATCACCCAATGTGATAGAAGGAGCCTGAGAGTTGCAGCCTGGAGCCCTGGGTTTGAACCCTGACCCTTTCACTCACTGCCCTTTCACTGGTGACCCTGGAAAAATTACCAAGCTCACATCTGTACAGTGAGGACAAGAGTACCTGGCCCCCGTTTCACTCAATGATGGCACCACATGCTTTATAAGCTCTAAAGTGCTCCAGGGCAAGGTGTCATTATCTGAGCAGGGTTTTTTTTGAGGGCACGAACTACTTTTCATTTCCCTAAAGCCTGCAAGTGGTCTGCGATGGGTTGGGTGGGGGACACACCAAAGGTCTGGCTGGAGATGGGGATGGTGACAGGTGGGCCCTGAGACAGAGCCAGGTGAAGTGCCAGGGTGCCAAGAGAGATGGCGAGGGAAAGCTTCCAGGAAGAGGCCAGCAGGAGAGCAGAGACAAGGCAGGTCTGAGGATAGAGGCAGCTAAGACGCTAACCTGGCCAGGAGGAAGGAAGGGAAATCAGGGTCCTCTGATGAACCTGGAGCAGAGCTCAGACAGAGGCCAGACCAGGAGCAAACTTGACATGATTAGGAAAAATATCACTTACAGGTGTCCCCTCTAGACCAGAGCTGAGGTACTCACACACCCAGCAGGCCAGGGCTCCGCTACAGCAGCTAATCAGTCATTTCCTACCCTCCCTGAAGCAGCGCATGCCTCACAATCTCAGGCATCTTAAGGACACAGGCAAGAGCAAGGCACAGCCTTGCCCTCATGAAGCGCAGAGTTTACCAAGCACAGCACAGAGAAATGGCAACCGTACAAGGGAGAGGCAATTTAAGGGAGCGAGCGGCCAATTCTGCTCCTATCACCACCTCCACCAATGGGTCTCATCCTCATCCATCTCCTGACGTTTCTTCTTCGTGCCATTACCCATTCCTGGAATGCCCCATTCCCTCTATCCCATGCAGCAAGTACTAACTCAAGCTGAAAGGCGGTTCGGTCACTGGTGAGGGCTCCCAACCTCTTCCTGTTCCTGCAGCCTGTACTTTAGCAGGAGCTCCTGGTAATTATCGTATTACCTAGTAACTCTTCTGTTCCTCTACTGAAGAGTTAATCACAGCTTGTGCTATTACACTTCTGCTCTCTTATGTCTCATCTCCCCAGTCAGATTATAGCAATAATCATTGAAATAGTGTTCCAGTTTATAAAGTGCCTTCATGCATATTATTCAATTTAAACCTCACAATAAACCTGTGATAGAACTATTATCTTTATTTTACAAAAAGGAAACCAAGGCTTAGAAAAGTTCATTTAGCAGAGGTCGCACAACCTGTCCACGTACCTGGATATAAAACTCAAACCTCTTCTAGTTCCAGTGCCAGGGCTCTGCCCAATACTCAGAGGCAATTCAAGGCAGAGCTTAAAGTTAGGACCAGCTGTGTGTCCTTGGGCAGGTTACTTAACCTCTCTGTGTCTCAGTTTCTTCAAGGTAAAATGTGACTGATATCCACCTCACAGGTCTCTTAAGATTAAAAAGGTAATACAATAGAATACTGAGAACAATATCAAACACAGTAATTAGTTATAGTTATTATTACCTTGGCTGATTCTCATGGTCTCTTAACTCATTAAACTTTTTTCCTAACACACTTTTATATCTCATAATACACTTGACAGATAAATTTTCGGAGACAGACTAATAGTAAGTTGTAGGATTGCTCCTTTTTCTTTTTCTTCAACTCCTAGCACCCTGAGAGGTTGAACAATAGGAAAACTCTTTTTCTGCTCTGGTCCACCCCACATCACTCCCCCCTCACACCCCCAACAGCCACTAGATAAAATTTGGTCAATTACAAGTGTTTCACAGAATGCAAAATGTTGGAAAACTCTGACCTAGACTGTCCTTCTTGGGCTGTCTCTGGATAGCTAGGGGAGTCAGTCATGGGTGGAAACTTTCACAAACCTAATTTCTATCACTCTAATGGGTCAAAGTCTTAGGCGTATTTCTCTTTTGCTCCAGTTTTCATTTATTTGAGACTAGATGCAATGGGTTACCATAAAAATAACACCAATTTATTTTCCTTTTCCATTGGAAAAAAACGGAAATTCACACTGTTTCCTGGAGTAAGAAGTCTCATGTGATTAGGCAGCTTAGTTGAGGCAGTACCACCCAGGGCAGATGGACAGAAAGTTTCCTCCTTTTCAGCCGTCCTGTCCGCAAAGCCAGAGGATAAGCCTCAAACCACCTGGACCTTGGGAGGGAGGAGTGGCCATCTCTTCCGTCCTGCCTGGGTCAGGATGACGCAGGAGGGGACCTCCCTACTTACATCACACAGACACACCTGCCACAGGCCAGGAAAGAGGCGGATGAAGTCCCCAGGGGTGATTCTTTGCAAGATTCCAAATAAAGAACACTGAGTCAGGTCCTCACAGGATTTTCTAAAAACCCAAGCTCTTCCCTCACATGATACTGTGTTGGGAGACATGGCAGAACACAGCAGGGTGACCAGACTGGCAGGGAGGCCCTGCTGGATTGTCAAAGGCTCCACTCTGAGAATAGGAGTGAAGAACAAATCTGCCCTTACAACTTTGGCACCGGGATTAAAAGAAGCGCTGCATCCTTTGAAATGGATTTTGCATACAAACGAGCTGAGGAACACCATAAACATGTCAGCTTTATTCAGTCAAATCAATACAGCAGGCATTAAGACTCTTGAGGTAAAAATGGATTGTGGCTTTTTGTTGATGACACTGAGGAATTTTGGCCCCCAGCCCTGGTCAGGCTGCACAAATAGGGCAGGCTGCTTGTTAGCTGTCAGGCACATCTTGGGGGTTGAAACCAAAACCCCAAGTCAGGGTCTGGGCACCCATCACTGGGCAGCTTGTCCAGACCAGCAGTGGGGCTATCTGGCCAGGAGCCTCAAGTCCTGCCCTTGGCCAGCCCCCTCTTCCAGCCCCCCACCCCCTAGTCATTTTCCAAGCTAGTCACACTTCGCATTTCCTACATTCCTTCTCATAGCTCAGACCTCTTCGGCCCGGCCTCAGAGGGGCCGACAGCTGGGGGTCGTTTGAGCCAAGCAAGAGGCACCAGGAAGGGGGTATTAGGGATGGGGGGACAGGAGGGGTTGTCAATGCAATCGGAAGCAATCTCCAAGGGAGGAAAGGGTTCCCCGCTCTTCACATCCCAAATTGAGCACCCACTTTCCTCTCCAAGTGCCCAGCCAGTGCGCCTTCCTGGCCTAGGGGCACCCTTTCCACTCGTCTCCTTTTCGGTTCCTTCCTCCCTTACCTCCCTTGTCCCCAGCCTAGCTTTCGCCGGGACCAGCTCCCCTCCGGCCTCGCCGCACGGATCTTGCCAGCTCCCCGGGGCGCCCTCGCCTCTCCCCCAGGCGGGCGAGGATGCCGGTCCCCGACCTTCCCGGGACCGCCCGCACAGCGCCCCGGACGCCCTCTCTCGCTGCCCCCTTGCGGGATCCTTCCCCGGGCCGCCGGACTCCGCCTCCCTTCCTGTCCCCCGGACACCGCGCCTCTCGGGTGCCCCAGCCTCGCACGCCCGGGGTGCCCCGGTTCTCACCTGAGTCCGCTCGAAGCTCTCCCGCTCGGCCGCCTCCACCCCCGCGCCGACCGCGCGCCGGCTCAGCACCTTGGGCAGGGGGTTGGGCACCTGCTTCATGGAGCTGGCCATCCGGTCCATGTCGCCTCGCTGACCAGAGTCAGGGGCCCTCGGCCGCCCCGGGATCCCCACGGCGCCGCCCGCCCCGCCCTACCCGCTGGGATCCGGCGCTACAGGGGTAGCTTCACCCCCATTGGCTGGGAGAGCTGCTACTCTCCCGAGGCCCCGCCCAGAGGCTTCCCCGCCCGCCCCCGCCCCGCCCCGCCCCCTCCGGAGACCCCCGGCTCGCCCCGCCCCCTGGGCCCTCGGGATCGCGAGGCGCGCGGTGACCGGCCCGCAGGCCTGTCCGTTACCGGGTTCCACCACCCCGGCGGGGGCGGGGCCCCGCCGCTGCCCCGAGCTGCCCCCGCACGCCCCTCCCCCGACGCCCGGCGCGCCGCCCCCCGCGCCCGCCCGCGGGGCCCTCCCGCCGGGGGCGCGGCCAGTCCCGGCGGGGTGCGGGGTCGCGCGGTCCCGGCGCCGGGCCTCTCGCGGGGAGTCCGGCCCCCTGGGAATATCCTGTTGCCGCCTTTCGGACCGGGGGCGAGAGAGCGCGGCCGCCCCGGAGAGGCGCTGCCCAGGCCCCCCGGGGAAGGGTCGGGTCGGCGGGATCTGGCCCTCGCGGGTGGCGGCCCCGCCCGGCCGTGGCTTCCTCCCCCCGCCCGCGCGCCCCGCGCCCCGCCCGCGCCCCCGTCCCCCGCCTGCGCCCCCCCCCGCGCCCGCCCCCCGCGCCGCCCCGCCCCGCCCGCGCCCCTCCCCGTCCTCCCGCAAAGATCGCGGACCCGGGAGCGCCGGGCTGGGCCAGTGGGAGCCACCGGCACCTTCTTTCCGAACCGCTCATCGTCTGGCCGGGCCCGAACGTGTTCCCGGCTGGAACCCCAGTCTCTCCGCCCGCGGCCCCCGCCCCGCCCGGACGCCGCCTGGGAGCGGGATGGCCCAGGGCCGGGTGCGCCTCAGCGGAGATGCTGAGTTTTCCGTTAATCGCCAATATCGGAGTGTGTTTAAATAGTTATGAAAGTCAAAGTAAAGACATTTTAAAAACTTCGAGGGATGGTGATAAAATTCTCACATTCAAGAGGAATAAAGATGGGGTGGCCTTGGCAGGCAGAGGGAGGCGCTGGAGGCTTTGCTGGAACCTGTGCTTCGCTGGGCTGGCCGTGTGTGGACAGGATGCCAGGCGCGGGCCCAGCAGCAGGTGAGGGACATGAGTGCGGGCACCGCAGTGGAAGGAAAGTCCTGTGGGCGCCGCCAGCCCTCGGAGAGGTTGTGTGATTAGGCTCATGGGACTAGGGAGGGGGCAGCTGTGGGGTCAGTTTAGGGAGGGTGTCAGATGAAAGGGGGGAACTGTCTTGAGGCTACATTTGCAGAGGAACACACTGGTCTCACCTTTGTTTAAATCGTGTTTACATGGGACGCTTTGGGAGTGGCCCCCTATGGGTTCCTCTGGGAAGAGGTTAGCTGTCACCTTGTTTTCCAGACTTTGAGGGAAGGTGGAAATGACATTAACTGAGGAGGGAGTGAGGCAGAGAGCTGGTAGAGGAGCTAATTTCTGTCTTAGACAGCAATGCCCAACATAGTCATGGCCACTGGGTGGGTGGGTGGGTGGTGACAGAGAAGCCAGGGGAGGAGGGACAGGAGACAGAAGACAGGTCAAGAGGGGAGAACCCCACGGAGGGGTATCCATAAACTCTGGGGTCTATTGGGAGATAAATAGATGAGGGCTGTGTTGGGCAGTGTTTGGGCCTGTCAAGGGATTGCATACTGGAAGGGCTGAGAGTTGAACAAGGAACTAGGTACAATGATGTGGCCTGGTTTAAGGGGATCAACAGGGACAGTGAAGCACCTAGGAATTAGAACAATGGGAGACTGTACCAGCCCTAGACCAGAAGAGACAAGGAGAGGGGGCTGTACTGGGCCCATTTGCGCTCTAGTTATGGGATAGGAGACACCTGACCAGACCGGTGGCCTTAGGCAGAAAACCAGTCCCTGGCACTGGCCCCAATTTCTCTTTCTCTCCAGTGGTTTCCCACTAGTGTGTCCCATTGAACAAACCAAAGGAAGCTTTAGGGTAAAGGTGATGCTTCAGTACTGCCGCTCCCATTAAGACCTAGCAGACTGCAGGTTTGATCCAGACTGCAGGTCTTGGGAGGCTCCCAGCACAAGGGGCTCCTTGGTGTATACCTACAAGGAAAAGAGACGAGCTTCAGGTTATTACCTCCATGTGCCCATTCTTAATCCTGCACTCTCCTCATGCTCTACCCAGCTAAAGAGTGATTTATGACCTTTTGCCAAGAGTTTATGGCTTTAATAAACATGGGTCCTTTAAACAGGGATTAAGGGATCAGCCTACTTATTATAATAAACCAGAGTAGGAATCAGGAATTTGTGGTTTGGAGGCTCCCTGTGGAGAAAGACTCCAGCAAGTTACCTTTTTCTGAAACTCAGTGACTTCCAAACAAGGCTTTCCTACCTGCTACAGCAACAAAACCCTTGGAGAGCAGAGAGAGGGAGGCCCCCCACCCCCACCACCACACACACATAGACTAAAGGACCCTACTGGTTTCCTTACTACCTCTCTCAGCAATGTGGGAACAACTGTCTTATGCCTTCTAGAGTCAACATATAAAAATTCAGCTGTTTTTTAATTACATTAATAATTAACAAAGACATTGAAATTTGAAAAGCAATATCATATGCAATAGCATCAAAAATGTGAAGTACTTAGGGTCAATCTTACAAAAGATGGAAAGACTATTAAATATTGCTGGAAGAAAATGAAGGCAAATAATGGAGACAGAGGTGAGACACAATTTTGTTAAGATGCTACTTGTCCCCAAATAGACCTTCAGATTCCTTGCAGTTCTGATAAAAATTCCAGCAAACTTTCTTCAGAAACTAAGCTAATTATAAAATTTGTATGGGAAGGTAAAGGATCTAGAATATCCAGAACACCTTTGAAAAAGAATGCATTTCAAGTATTCATATTACAATATCAAGATTTGTTATAAAACTATAGTGATCAAAATAGTGTGGTACTGATGAAAAAATATATAGAACAGATTAGAGAGTCCAGAAATAGATTGTGGATTGTCCACAATGATACAAGGCAATTCAATGGAAGAAAGACAACTTTTTTTTTTTTTTGCGTGGAAGAACTGGGGTGCAGGCCAGAGGTGGGAGTGGAGGTGAGACAATTCATCAGAGACAGAGTGGGGGACAGAGCAGGCAGGTTGACTGGAATACACTGCTGAGGGGAGCAGCAGGTGAGATAGGAGAGGTCTGTTGCGCCATGGGGTCAACTCCCTGGCCAGGAATAGAACTCATGCCGGGGCAGTTATAGAGCTGAGACGTAACCCCTAGGGCACCAGGGAGGCCCCCTTCAACAAATTGGATAACCGTATGCAAGAAACAATAGGATAACCACATGCAAAAATCCCAATCAAACAAAGAGACCCAACTTTCGATACTATTCTCACTCCATATACAAAAATCAACTCATGATGAAACAGACTTAAATTAAAAAATGAAGACCATAAAACTTAGAAAATAGGATGAAACCTTAGTGACTTTGGGTTTGGCACTGGTTTTTAAAAATACATGAAAAGCATCAAGTAAAAGGAAACAAAAATCAATAAACAACACTTCATCAAAAATTTAAAACTTTTGCTCTTCAAAAGACTGTTATGAAAAAGAAAGAGGGAGGACCAGACTGGGGAAAGGTATTTGTAAAACATTCATTCAGCAAAAGACCTGCATCCAGAATATAGCCAATATACATTTTTAAATGACCTGGTTTGGGTTTTAGATTGTTTCCACAGATCAGGATGACTCAGGAAGAATCAGGGCACAGGGCAGGGAGCACTAGGGGATGTCAGGGACAGGATCCCATTGTAGCCTCTCTCCCACCACATTTTAGTTGTGGATTTGTGGACAAATTACTTAGGGCTCTGAGTCTCTTCCCCAATTGCAAAGCAGAAAGAGTGATAATATAAACTCTCATTCATTCAGCAGATACTGGTTGAGCTCTTACTCTGGAGGAGACACAGTACTAATCAGGTTCTAACTTTACTGTTTGGTCCTGGATACATGCATTAAAAAAACAAACCACATACTACACAAGGAGGCGGGTGCTGGCATAGAAGTCTGAGAGTACCACCTTTCTCCAGACATCTGGGGTATTAAACAAGAAAAATATCCTATTTTATGCCTATTTATCTCCATATGTGTATATCTGTATGTTTGAATAGGTAAGAAAAAAGGGTAGCATTAGATCTGTACTTAATGAATTGTAGGGATGTCATGATAAGTTGTTAGGTGAAGAGGCAAATTGCTAAGTAGTGTGTATAGACTGATTCTACTTTAGTGAAAACAAGTAAGTGAAATTTCCGTGTGTGTGTGTGTGTGTGTGTGTGTGTGTGTATGTTTTTGTATGTGAATGAACACAGAATAGGGTGTGAAAGGATAGGAAAAAAAGGGTGTGAAAGGATAGAATACAGTGAGCTAGTCCTTATGTTATAGGACAGGGAGAGGGGCAGCCCAAGCCCCGCAAACCTGCCTATTCTAAATGGGTTCTGCCATCCGCCGCATCAACACAAAACATATGAGACTTTAATGGGAAGGAACTTTAATAAAACTAGGAAACAATACAGGTAAGGCAAAGAGTCTAGTTTCTAAATGAAGCACCCAAAGTTACCCGTCCCCTCGTGGGTAAAACTCCATCCAAATGGGATCGGCCCAGAACAAGGCCCCAAGGCCTGCCACAAGTCTAAAGCATCTTCCAGTGGGGACCCTCAGAAAAGGGTCACAAACAACCAGACAAGCCCGGAAGGAAAAGAGCAAAATCAACATCCAGATAAAAGCTGCCATGGTCACCTCCCCACGGGTCTCACCCACATCTGTGTCACCCCGTCCACGACCAAAAGACAAGCGCAGTTTCTTCACGTGTCTCTAGGCTCCATGCGCCTCCTCCAGGTCTCCTGGCTCCATCCTGCTTCCTTCCTCAGTCTCTTCTGCAGCTTCTTCCTCTTCCTGCTCAGCTCCACCCTCCCTTGGGTGGGGCAAGGAACCTGGAACCTCCC